TCAGCCATTTTTCAGTCGTGGTACTCTAAATATAAAAAGTCCTTTTATTATATCTATATCAAGGAACATTGAAATCAACGGATGAAATGATGTCTGCCAATCGTGCAAGATCGAAAGTCCAATCATTTGAATGAAGCCCATAGCATTATATATAAGGCAGATAATCTTATGTCCACAGCCGACATGTTCCATCCGCACCTGCGCTGACACACCATGCCTCCCTCGGATGCCAATCTAGATCCAAAACACCTAATTCTCCTGTGACCTTATGGCCACGGAGGACCTTCAACGGGACGATGCTCGCATTACTCAGCAGATCGCCCGTGACACTTCCGTGGAAAATCTGGAGAGAGCCATCATCACTAGCATCAGCAAATAGTGGATAGTTGGAATGATACCGCACGGCGCGGATGGCTTTTTGGTGATAACGGAGCGTTTTATACGGACGCGGAGAGAGGTCGACATCGTGCCAGAGGAGGCGGCGATCGTAAGAGCCGACAATTAGATTGTCGCCGCCAGAGGTGGTCGAGGAGGTCGGATGGATATCGAAGGAGGAGATCCACCGGGCACCTGGCTGGAGAATCTTGACGAGGCTCTGGCGGGAAAGATCGTACGAGCGAATAGTACGCTGGTTTGCGACGAAAAGGATTGGTTTGGATGGGTGGAAGTGAGCGGCTTGGGGTGGACCGCCACCCTTCAGGCGACGGCGGAAGGGGTGCTGCGTGAGGTGTTTGGAGAGGGTGTGGATTGCGATCGCGAGAGAGACGGGGGTGGCTGTGCCGGGGCATACGGTCACGAAGTAATCGCCGCGTCGGTGCCAGGAGAGAGACTTGGCCACATAACCGAGTGAGATAACAGCCTGGACACCGGAGTCGAGAAGTGAGGGCGAAGGACGAGTCCATTGTGCTGACGTCTTCTTCGTGCTATCTGAGGTCAACGTTTTAGCGTAACCCCATCCAGCATCAACAATATCAAGGCTAGCCTTTTCCATTTCCGGATCGAGTATCGGAGGGACAATAAGGTGGATGCTATCTCCAGTGGCAGCTGCTAAAACCACAGCATCTTTCGAAGGCCTCCATCGGATAACGTTGACAGGCTCTTCATCGCTCAGCTTCACACTCCAGATCTGTCGGCCCGTAAGAAGTTCCCACACACGGACTGTGCCATCGTCACCACCACTTGCAAGCCAGACCCCAGTTGGATCAATGGCCAGTGTTCGAACACGCCCACTGTGTCCACGAAATAGAGTTGCGCAGGTTGACGGGAAAGGTTTCAGCTCTTCTGGGCTGGGCAACTTAGGAAGCAAACTTTCGGGGTCGATATTTAGTTTACTCCTTCTAACTCTGGGGGCCAAATACAAATCAAGGCAGCGCTCAAATTTCTCCTTGACAAATGAGTCATAACCGGGAACCTTTCGAAGAGCATCATAATCAGCGGGTAGATATTCTCTCTCTCGATCCTCTGGGTCTGTATTTAACCAGGCTGCTTTCTCTTTTTCATCTGGTAGATACTCCGGTGGTGGATGGTAACTTTCCTCATAACCAGGGGGAGGAAGCTTAGGGGCAGGTATGTGCATGGGGTGGTCTGCCCGTGGGGTTTCATTGGCCCAGAGGTCATATGTCCACACGCCCTCCTCCGCTTCAGCTTTCTCTGTTAGTGGCTTATAGGGAAGTATCCGGCCTTCTCTGATTGCCTTGACGAGTTTCATCACCCGTTTAGCCTCGTGTTTCGAGGGGACAAACCGCCTTTTGGGTTCTGGTGCCGCGTTCAATGGCATGATTTCCAATTTGCTAGTAAAGTACTCGATAGTTGGCTGGTAAGGGTCGTAGCCATCTTCGGTGATTTCATTCATCTGCACCTTGCGCAGTAGTTCCAATTCATCTTGGTTTAATTCCAAGGGTTTTCCAGTGGACGGGTCAGTCAGGCCTGTAAATCCCTTGGGAAGTTCAATGCTATCCAGGAGAGTATCAAGAGCCTGCCCCATTGCTGGTCGCATTATCTTTTTGCCATTGATGTTATAACCGATGTGCGGATATTGGTCGTAAAAGGAGAGGGGAATGTTGCCAATGGTGTTCGCATTTTCGTCCGCTTCGGAGTAATCTGAGTTGTCATCTGGGTTGATTTCATCATATATATACCGCTCATTTCCATTGGCATCCTTTGTCACTCGGTAATTTAGTTTATCATCATCATATCCGTCTCCTAATTCACCGTCGGATGTTACCTCTTCGCCGCGAACAAAGATGTCGACACCACGGTCCGGCTTTGACTTTTCCCTAATAGGCTTGGACTCAATGTCCGAGGGAATTTCATCACTGTCAAATTCATCCTCATATTCCTCCCCATCGTCGCTGCTGAGGTCGTCGACCAGTTCTATTTCGGAGTCGCTACTGTGCTCCGTGTCATGAGATTTATCGGAGAGGTCTCCATCCAAAGCATCCAGATTAAGTTCGTCCCCGGAGACCACTCCAGGCTCCTCGTCTAGATCCCTGGTGACTGCCTTGCGCTTTCTGGAACCTTTCAAATCGCCCATTGTAAACAATGACCGCCGGTATGTGCGGGTTGGAAAACTCCTTGATGAACCTGGTATCGAGCTCGTTGAACTTTTTTTTTTGCTGTTAGCGCGAGATCAAGCGGCTCCAGGCTCGATACCGGAGAAATAGTAATTCCGTCTCCGATATCATGGGGCGTGTTATCGTATTACAGGACATAAGCGTGCCACCAACACCTGCGAAACTAATAATATCTTTCAAACAGGGGGACAGATGAACAAACAGTCAGTCACGCACCGGCTGGCTGCCGACTGTATCATACCTAGGTAGGAATAAGCTCAGGGCTTGCATCGTTAGTCCCGCTTCTTTGCGAAAATCCAAATTCTCTCACCGGCTAACCATTTTACTGGACGCAGGACTGGGCTCATCCTCGCACCCCGGCAGCCCTAAATGACATCCATGGATGGCTGCGGACTGGTCACGTGGCAACACCTGTTCCAGATTTAGACCTCAGCCCTTCCTCTTTCGGACGACGAAGCCCTAATCCAGGGGTTTGGCTGCCACAGCACGTTTTGGAAGCCTCACAGGCTTCATTATTATTGTCATTGTCATGCTGGCTGTGATGAGTGCGAATGCCCTCACTGTGGACCTCTCCTCGAGCGGGTATTTTAAGCTATTCTTACTACTTAATATTCTTAATTTAGCCCGTCCCGGGGCGCTGCTGGGAAACTCTAGTTCCATTTATAGGCGATATAGCAACGGTTGCATTTGCGCTCTCCAGCGGTCGAAATAGGGTTAGCAAGCAACTACATGGTTAATTCAACGGATGGAGTGCAGGGGAAAATAGTTTCACCCCAGCGCTCTCATTCGTCGTGATGAAACTGAACCAAGGGAATAAATTCGTTGAGCAGATGAATTTCGTGCAATGGGTGGGCAGGGGGTAAGACGCTTGCTGACATCTTGCTTGGCTGATGGCCAGAAGACGGTATTGATAACTTATCGACGCAGCTGAGATTATGTCAACCAAGGTCGATCCCTTGATGTGGCTTGTTTAGGAATAGTCAAGCGCAAAGCTCTAACCAGCGAACAACCCTAGCGAGTTTCTCCCAAGTAAGTTACAGGCTTGGAGCCCGAAATTCGAAATGCGTCTTCATTTTTAGAAAGCAGGGCTTCGGGATGTCATAAACTGTATATAATCCGTCGCCTTCCCCTTGGTTTTTTCGTCAGGTTTTCCCTTTGTCTCCATAATGGCAGTTGTTGCAGAAATAAGAATGTCTCTCTCACGTAATCCTTCAACTGGCCCTACCACGGAATCAAGGGCTTCACGCAAAAGGCATGCCGCTTGCGACGAATGCAGTAAGTCTGACAACATGACGATGTCTTTTGAAGGTGTTTATTGATGATGAGTAATACCAGGGCAGCGAAAGTTGAAATGCTCTGGCGAAGCCGGCGGCTGCAGCCGATGCGTGAAACAGAGTCTATACTGCCACTACTCGATCCAGAAACCAATGGGCCGCCCTCCGAAGTCGCGAGCACGACAGGAGGATGTACAGATACCAGTGACAGCACCGCAGTTTCCTGATTATCCACGGTGTATTCCTGGCCTGGTAGGATCGCCGCCATTTACACTCGCGGGCTCTACCCGTGCGGTTCCTGGAACCACCATGGACGCTCCATACACTTCCTATATGATGTCACCAGATCTGTATGCCGCCAGCAACCCAATATACGGGGAACGCGGCCCTGGACAGACACCCATCCAGCTTCCGGTGTCGTCTTATCCGACTCAACCGTCGTACTCGCAACCATCTGGTGGTGGCATGTTCACCCCACCACCGTCGTCAACTACTTTCCCAATAAGTTCTGTCCCTGTAACAGCCCTCGAAGCATACCGGCAACTACAACCACTCTCACCATGTTCATGCGTCTCTTATATGTATCTCTGTCTCAATTCACTGTCCACACTCACTTGCTTTCCACCCTCGTCTCAAACCCTCTCCACCCTCTACAACGCAGCACGCAATGCTAGAGGGGTAATATACTGCGAAATATGCCCTCAGACCTTCAACAGCTTAGTGCAAAATCTGATGATACTCGGAAGCCTTCTCAACGTGATTGGAGACACCTGGTTCAAGGTCTCGCATATGGACGCGGAGCAATTGGGCAGAAATGTCCTCTCCCCGGCTTTCATTGCCTCTTTACCCTCGGACCCTGGCGAACGGCAGCGGCGGTGGAAGAGGTGGCTGCGCCATGTTGTTAGACACGGAGTGATTGGCAGTGCTATTACCCCCATGGTTGATTCCGTCCAAGAAGAGAGCTCGGGATGCCCTAGCCTTCTCTCTCTGATCCAGGAGCTGGAGGCTAGACAGCGCTGGTGGCACGCTCAGGCCAGAGACCACACCGACTACCCCACAGGAATCCCCAAGCCGAACAGCGAAGTACACACGAGCGAGGGTGGCCAGCCGCAGGATACAGAATATATGTGCAGCCGCATGGCAGGTACAGCCCGGCAGGTGATAGATCGATTTGAATTTGATGATGAGGAGATGATGGGATGATTTTTCTCTTTTCCAGCTCTTTTGCTTTTCATATATTGATTTTCGTTAAATTACATTTATTCGATATTTTCTTCTTGTTCCTGGTTTCCCTCTATGAAGAGCAAGAAATAGATGGGTATTTTCCGTAACCACTTCATCAGTTCAACTCCCGTACTTTGTTAACATGTTTTTCTCATTTTGCCTGTATTTTTTTCATTCTTCTTTCGTTCTTCTTTCTTTCTTTCTTTCTCTTTCTCTTTCTGTTTCTTTTTATTATTTTGTTTGAGCCCATTTTCCCTGATAACTCGCCAAAAACATAGACGGCAGAA